GCTCAGCCCTCCCAGTCAGCCGGGGCCCTGCGTGCCACGTGTTCCACGCCACGTGTGGGTGCTCTCCCAGGGCTGAGGGCACCCCGGAGCCTCTCCGTCTGCACACGGGCCTTTCGCTCCGGGACTCCAGCTTGCTCCTCCCCAGGGCTCCAGGCAGGAGATCAGAAAACCCGGCGCCTGTTTCTCCAATCTCTCCAGTCCCCATGCCCCAGCCTCCTGCCCCCTCCCAGTAGGCACCCATGGGTCCGGGAGTGTCCCTCCTCTGCACAGCCGACTGACCTTAAGCCCAGAGCCGTGGCCTGGCTGCCTGGCAGGCGGTGCCGGTCCTGGGCTCTCTGCCCCCAGCGACCCACCTTCCCTCGGTGTGAAGTGGGGCTCAGCGCAGCACAGAGCCGGGGCGGGAGGGAGGAGGCGTCGGGCGAGGCGAGTTGGACCAGGACTGACAGTACGCAGGGTCCCCGTCTGGCTCTGCCTTCCTCGGCCACGGACTGACTTCCCCCGTCCCCACCTGGAGTGAGGAAGTGTGGCACAGAGCGACTGGTCCTGCCTCGCCCGCGCTGGCTGGGCTGTTTTCTTCAGCCACAGCTGGGCATTTCCAGGACCTGTTCCTCTGGGAATGGGACTGTTTGGGGTCCCCAGGAGCCTGTGGGAACGGCCACCAGGGCGGGTGTGGCAGGGGGCTGCCGCCGGGCCCGGGGAACAGCCTCCATGTGTGGCTGGAGCCCACCGGGCCCGGAGCCTTCTGCCGGCCTGTGGAAATCCATGTGGCACGGGTGCAGCGGCTCGCTCTGCCCGGCGGGAGCAGCCCAGAGGCCCCTTGTTCCCTGGGCTATGAGGGGCTGCGAGGCTGCAGCCGTCGCACCCTCAGCGCCTGCGTCTCCCTAGCAGCTCCCGCCGTCAGTGCAGGGCCTCAGAAGAGCAATTGGCTCTACGCAGGCTGCTTGAGGGGGGAATAGGGGTAAATGGGGAGGGGGAATTCCCAGAAGACCCCCCCCAACAGAGTGACGCTGTATTTGCAACCGGCGCACTCGACCCTTCGCCGGCTGTGGCGAGTGCTGTGCCCTCACACCGGCCCAGGCCTCATGGGTCGCTCTTTGCCCTATGAGACAGGAAAAGGGGGGTGCACAGAGGGTGGGGGGCCTGGACTTCTCCTTCAAAACCTAGTAGGGTTGTGTGGGAGAGTGGGTTTAGCCTCCGCCTCCCCCACGCAAGCAGCCCCTCCTGCCGTACTAGGGAGGGGCCGAATACTGGCAGGGGAGAGGAACCAGCCCTCGGTGCAGGAGAAGGAAAAGCCCTGGAGACTTTCACAAGTAGCCTAGGCACTGGGGGGGCCTCACGACCAGCTCTCGGTGGCCACGGAACGGGAGGGGAGATGTCTGGACGGGAAGGATGGAGGGGGACTATGGTGAGTTTGCAAAGAGCAAGGGGGGCCCGGAGCAGACCCAAGGGGGAGTAGACAGGGCTAGTTTCGGCCCCGTATTGCGGAAAGCCACAGGGCTCGGCACTTGTGCCCGGTCCGACCAGGCCTGAGGCCGCTGCTGCAGCCGCGGTGCCCCAGATCCAGGAGGAAGTGAGGAGACGGGAAGGTGCAAACGAGACTCTATTATGACATCCCTGTGCTCCAGCATTAACACCGCCTAGCCCGAGACACGGTTTTGCCGCTGAGAAAAAGCAGCTCTGCCCGAGCTCTGTCTGCCCGAGCAGGTCCCTCCGGCGCCTTCTCTGACCTCTGCCTTTCTGTGCCCGCTTGCAGATCTCGTCCGCTTTGACGTCCCGTCGATATACATCGAGGGGGATGCTGCCCCCCGCCGAGAGCTGCTGGAGCAAAGCCAGAGACATTCCGTGGCAGGGAAAGGCGATTCGGAAGAGGAGGAGTCGGAAAGCACTGCCCTATGACATCGCCTCCCCCCCATGGACTCATTTGTACATACATGTGATCCCGGCTGCACAGACGCGGGAAACTCGCGGCCCACGGGGACAGCCTGTCTCAGTTGCAAAATGCATTTCGGGAGCAGTCCCGGTTATTTATTTCCATGGGTTTGTTTTGCCTTTTCCAAACTTTGCCTTTTGACTTGGTGCCTACGTGTCCCCCTGACTCACCCCAAGCCCCTCTGCCCCTTAGCACACGCATTCCCTGCTGCTCTTCCACAGACGCGGGAAACTCGCGGCCCACGGGGACAGCCTGTCTCAGTTGCAAAATGCATTTCGGGAGCAGTCCCGGTTATTTATTTCCATGGGTTTGTTTTGCCTTTTCCAAACTTTGCCTTTTGACTTGGTGCCTACGTGTCCCCCTGACTCACCCCAAGCCCCTCTGCCCCTTAGCACACGCATTCCCTGCTGCTCTTCCGTGTGGGGAAAGGAGGGTCCCTGCAGCCATGGTGCCCGGTCGGTCCAGCTTGTAGGATTCCACCCGCGGGAGCAGACAGGGAAGGAGCACGACCCCTTGCCCCGGTCCTGGGGAAATCCTTGCCCTGCGGCCTATTGAGTTTCCTGCTCATTGTCAGTGCCCATTCGGGGGAAGGTTTCCTCTTTAACCCTTACGAGCCTGGTGTTCTCCAGACTGTCTGCCAAAATGGCCGCCTTGGGATACCACCAGCAGCGTGGTCTCCAGGAGGGCGTTGGCCTCCGTGTCTCGGCGGGGGCTACTTTTTCTTCGGTTGTTTCTTTGTGAGCTTGACTCCTTGGGGGCCAAGAAACTTCTCCCTGGCTGAGCTGCAGCCGGCGGTTTGGCGAGGAACCTGGCGCCACTGTTCCTCTTGGGATCACGGTGGTGGGAGTGGCCCGGGCGAGGGAGACGGGCCCTGTTGGCATGAACGGTGCCTCTGCTGGAGAGCCAGGCCGTGCTTTGAATAGCAATAATGAGCTCCGGTACGTTCCCACACCCTGCTTTGTGAGGTGATATTTGGCCAGAGGCCCTCTCCTCCCAGCCAAATTCCTACCCTGCCCCCCCCCACGTGCCACGTACTTGTGTGTCTGCAAAGGGAGGGGCAGGCAAAACACCAGGGATGTGTCACCAGGGACTTGATCACCGCTCGCTAAGCGCTGGGCCTTCGGTCCCTGTTTTGTTTGGGGGGGTAGAGCAGAGGGTTTGGTGGTGCATGCAAAGACAACTTTACCCTTTCACCCTTTTGAAAGAGATGCGTATATCTATAGATCTGTCTGCAGAGAGAGTCCGTCTATATTTGTATATATCAAATAGATCTCTATATATTCGTTTTATTTGAGCCATTCCATCTGAACGGGTGTACAAATGTACAGTGGAAACTGAAACGCTTGCACCCCCACCCACCTCCACCCTGGAGCCGATATAAATGTAGGAAGAATTAGCCTCTCACCACCGTCGTTGCAAAGTTAGGATGTTACAGCTTCTTTGCACAGGTCGTAAGTGCAGCTCATCACCCAAACTGTACTGGGGGCGAGGGGGGGAGTGTAGAGCAAAATCGCCTGAAATAAACGTGCAAATTGCTGTCAAATCGGTTGGCAAAGCTGGGTTCTTCTCCTCACATAGAGTCAGCGTCTTGTGTTGCAGCAGTTCCCGCCGAAGGCCTGCAGGTTTGCGTCTCCCACTCTGTCTCGACATAGCGGCGCCCGGAGCTGCTCCTTGAAAGAAGCCAGATGCTTGATTCGCCCGACCCCCACCTGGCCCTGAACCGTGTTCTCAGTAAAGCAGAATCCACTACAGCTGTCTGCTGGCCCTTTTCTGCAGCCGCCAGTGCCGCTTTCGCTGTGTCTCTTCTGCGAGGAGGTGGAGGGATCAGAAGGGCTGGGGGTGGGGGTCCATCAGCGAGAAAACCTTGCCATTCTCAGGGCCTTAGCCTGCAGCCCGTCACCATGGTATCTGGGTGGCTTCTAGGCAAAATCAGTAGCCAGAGCGAGTCTCTGGTGGCATCCAGGGAGGCTCCTGTGCTTGTCAGGGGGAGAACCCAGCTCGTGGTGGTGGCTCCTCTGGGTGACTTTGGGCCAGGTCTCAAGAGCAGCGGCCAGCACAGGGCTTGGTCTGAGCAAACGCTGACAAAGTCAGCAACCGCGAGACCTGGTCTGCCCACGGGTGGGTCTAGAGCATCACTCCCCCACACACATGGTGCTGCACACGCCACGCGGGGGG